GTTTAAGTTGAAATTATATTTCATATATAATAATATTGGTGTAATTCATGCAATTTAATCTTGATTTGGAAAAGAGTTTTGTATTGAGATTAAATCACTGTATAGAAATATGGCTGAATCCAGTAATACATCTGTAACAGATAATACTGAAATAATTGAAGACCTAACAAAACATGCTCTAGTACATATTCATAAACATATGAAAAATGATGCAACCTATGAGGTTTGGTTGAAAAGCATAGAATGGGAAGCTAAACACACCATTCTAACTGATGAACACATCATCATATATCTTAAAGAAATTGCTGAACAAAAGAACATAGAAAGGAAAATGGCGTACATAATACACTCTTGGCCTTTCTTTATGACAGCACTTCTTAAGGTGTTAGATGAAAACAAGTCACTGAATGCCAAATTGGACACGTACAGTGACGATCTGGGCATTCAAAATGGGAAATACCAAGATTTACTTGCTGAGCATAAAACTCGTCAGGCTGATCATGAAAAAGAAATGAAAGCTTTGACGGATAAATATGCACAGGAAATAAATCAGCTTAAAATGCAATTGGATGAGTATGAAAAGGAGAGTCAGAAATTAGACTGTGAGGTTAGTAGTCATCATTCTGTGCCAAAAAGTTGCACAAAAATGCAAGAAAATACTATCTGTAAATCCCCTCCTTATTATGATTTTCCCACACCAGACCAGGTTTTCATAAAACAGTCTGTAAGTAAAGATGTGAGTAATTCTAAAAAATCACCTATGGAACAAGATTCCCTATCTCATGACATTACCAAGCCATCTTGGCAATCTTGGGCAGAACAGTTTGAAAAAGCTGTCTTGGCCAAACTTCAGAGGGAGAATCAGATTCAAGGTGATAGGAATGAAAACAGACATGGTTCTGTACACTGGCAGGATTCTGATGCAGATCAGAATTGTGACAGTGAACAAGAAGCTCAGAGTGATGGGAGTGAAAGTGATTGCACTGTCCACTCTGAAGGCCATGTAACTGATATGCCATCTGCACTGTTGTACGGGTCTAATTCCTCTTCAGCAGACAGATCGCATAGACGTTTACCCAAACACAGAAACAGAGGTCATAAATCAACGATGCCTGTTTATGAAACACCAAAGGTCATCAAATTCCTTAGAGAGACTGTCCCACAATTTTCTAGAGGTTCAGGAAATATATCTGAACATCTGGAAAATTATGATAGAGCAATGAATTCATTGGGCATGTATGATGACATTCATAAGAAATGGTTCATTACATGGACCTTTGATTCAATGTGTCGTGTTTATCTAGAAAGTCTTCAAGCTATACAGTTAATGTCCTGGTCCAAGATGAAATATGAAATAATCATGGAATATGGTAAGTATAAAACCATTGCCTCTGCTAAGAAAGCGCTTTATAATTTAAAGTGCCGTCCAGATCAAAGCCCCAGAGAATTTTTAATAATTCTTAAAAATGCATACTCCGTGGCCCAAAGAAAACCCAGGTATGAAAGCACAGACTTCAAAGATCTGTATTTTCATGCCATGCCAGTAAACATACAAATGAATCTCGCAAGAGATTATGATTGTAAGTTACCATTAGAATGGCTAGTCAGTCAGTGTATGAAATTGTATACTATACACCATGCACATGACGAAAATCAGCTAAAGGTTAAGAAACCTGGTGATAAAATGGTGTCAGAGACTAAAATTCAGTTAGGTTTAGAAACCCAACAGAAAAAGAGGACCTATTCCGAGGTTTTGAAAACATCAAAACCTCAGAAACAGGAAAATGCCAGAAGCAATTCTGCAAATTCCTCTGATAGTAACTCTGGAAAATCCAATGCCAATGGGAATAAACGCCCCTGGGTTAATAAGAACCAAGGCAATTCCCAATGGAGAAGGAATCCTCAGGGAAATAGGAGATATGGAAACAGAAATAACCAATCTGCTTCCAATAACTCCCAACAGTCTCAGCCATCCCAGCCAAATTCTAATGGGCAAAGACAAAACGGCAATGGGGGAAATAATTTGCGTCGTCAGGTTGGTCAACTGACAGACCAGATGGGCAAATTAATGGAGGAAATGACAAAGATTAACGAAGTCTTTGCCAGAAATCTTTTTTTAGGGATAGCTCCAATTGCAGAACTACCTGTGCAACCGCAGCAACAACAACAGGTGCCGCAGCAATAATAGCTACTGTGACTAAACAGGCTAGGTTATCAGTAGATGTAATACCTAACCCTGCTTCCTTTCCAGGTACTAATAGTCAAATAAACAATAGTTGTGTTAGAAAACCTATTGCCTATACCGTCACTTCACCTCCGGGTGAAGGAGGCGCAACGTGTTCCTCTGTTTTTTCATTTCAGCCGAAGGCTAAAGTAGCCCCAGCAGCCACTAGTTTCCAGGATCCAGACCTGAAAGGGTTAACTGATGAGATGCCGACCACTAGTTCCCGCTTGATAGTTCAAGTTATTCCTAAGGAGGATGGGCCTGTAGGTAAGACTGAGCATTCCTCCATACAGGTAGAAACTACTGCTGTGACAGGTAACTTATGGAAAACGAGTGATATGTTGACACATTCTAACTTCTTATGTGAATTAGAAGAACATGAAGGAAGGTACTACATGTCTGTAGAAATACAGGATTCGTTACCCCAGCCTTTCAAAGGGTTAATAGATACTGGTTCACAAGCCACTATCTTATCCAATACCTACTTCCAGCAGGTAATGGACTTAGCAACGGATAAGCCGAAGCTAAGAGATTTCCCCAATGCTCTGTTGAGTGTAGGAGGAAATGCCCTTCATGTTATTGGCAATACCTGGTTAAAGTTTAAAATAGGTAACAAAACCTTTAGACACCCGGTGATAGTGGTAGATCTCCCCTATGACCGACTGATTCTGGGTATAGACATACTCAGAAGACTTAACACAATTATTGACTGTGTGAATGGAATTGTATGGTCACAAGCTAAGGTTCCCATAACCTATGAGAAATCGCATGGTCAATCTGATCGTAACTGCCATGTGACAGAAGACCTGACTCGATAGAGGTACATTTTAGGAATAATCAGTCACCTGACGTAACTATCCTGCAGGTGAATGATGCAATCGTACCTGTAGATGAGCATTCCGTAAGAATTGTTCCAGAGAGGATCCAGAATGTCTCCCTGGAAGGTGATGTTTTAACCATTTCTCTCCACAGGGACTATGTTGAATCTGTAGATCTGGCAGGTCATGCTCAATTCCTTGCCAGAATTGAAAGGGTTAATAACAACTTATTCTTTCCTATTCAGATAAATGACTTAGGAAGAAGTAGGAATGCAAAGCTGGACTTAAAGAGTGAGAACAGCTATATTAGCAGAAGTCTGTTAAAGCAGATCGCTAATCCTAAAATGATCAGGTACACTTCCCCACATGACAGGTGGATCCAGAATCTGGATGGCGAATCAGAGAGTCGCAATGTGATAGCAAAATTTTTACTATCTATTTCCATCGGAAATAAGACCGCTAAACATTTATTCCTAGTGATAGACGAACCTCGCTATCAGGTTTACGTTGGCAATGATGTCATACATCACTTTGCCATACACCTTGACATGATTAATTCCAACTTGTGGACAAGGTTAAAAGGTAATCCTTGTGGATACCTTCACGAGGAAAACGCCCTGAAATCAGGACAAATACTCCCATATGCGGTAAGTATCCAAGTACCTGATGACATAGCCATCCCACAGGGGACAAGTAATTTTCTTTTACCCCTACAGGTCAAGGAGGGTCAGAGATTAGAAAACTCTGATGCCCTAATCTGTTTATCCAACAAGATACAACAATTAGGGATGGTGGTAACACATACACCAATGGTAAGTATTGGTAAGAATCCCACCTATATCATGGTCAACAATGTTACACCCAATAGTGTTACTTTGCCAAAAGGAACATTATTAGGTCTAGCATTGGATGCTGAGTACTATACATTTGGTTTCCAAAACCAAATTATAGGCCTTATCCCTGAAGAATACTTAACTGAGGACGAAATTGTCGATCAAATATTCCATTCCTCCCCAGAAGGATTATTCAATATCCTATCTGTATATCCCTTCAACGTTGAAGAAGGCTTGTGTAAAATCGAAGAAGCATCAATCACCTTCGATCATCCGCTCAATGAGCAGGAATCACAAGAGTATCTCGACCAAAGAGGAAAGGTAAGTCAACACCGAACTGACCTAACTTCTAGGCTTGAAGAAGCTTATGAGATAGGCCAGCCTGAAATCTTTCCAGGATTTCAGGAAAGGCTAGAAGAGCAAATATCTAATAATCCTAATGGAATTCCAAGATATTTTTGCCAAAGATTCCTACGACTGTGGGTTAACTAACCTCCACGTAGCCAGAATACAAACTGATCCAAATTTACCACCTGTATTTATCAAACAATATAGACTCCCATTAGCGTCATATGATGGTCTACAAGACATCATTCAGAATTTAAAGGAAAGGGGCATTATACGTCCAGTGCACAGTTCGTATAATAATCCGATCTTGGGGATTCTGAAACCTAATGGACAATGGCGTTTATGCGCTGACTTACGACAGCTAAATAAACGCGTCTATATGTCTGGTTGGCCAACGCCATACATAGACCAATGTTTGGTACAAATGCAGGGATCCAAAATATTCACTGCCATTGACTGTGCGCAGGGATATTGGACTGTACCAGTCCATAATGAAGACCAATACCAATTGGCCTTCACATTTGGAAAGCAGCAGTATACCTGGACACGTATGCCTTTCGGTTATATAAACTCTGGTCATGAATTCGCTGTGTTCATGCATAAAGCTATGCCTGACGCACTCGAGAGAGGAACGTTATCATATGTCGACGATGTCTTGCTGAAAAGCACTTCCTTTGATAAGCATATCATAGAGATTAGACATGTTCTCACTCAGTTAAGAGAGGCAGGGATTAAACTGTCTTTACAAAAGGCGCAATGGTGTCGCACCCATGTCAATTTCCTCGGACATGAGGTAACTTCTGAAGGATTAAATCCCCAGAGGAAGAAGGTTGAAGCCGTACTAAAGGCTAAAACACCTTCAAACATCAGGGAATTAAGATCGTTCCTTGGTATGACTAACTACTCCCGTAAGTTTATAGATAACTATGCAGAAATAACGAAACCACTCTTACACCTGCTTAAAAAGGAAACTACCTGGAACTGGGGGGAGCCTCAGGACCAAGCGGTAAGTGAACTGAGGAGGAAGCTCACTCAGGCACCCTGTTTAGCATACCCAGAGGGGGGTAAACCCTTCTATCTGGAGACAGGTTATACCGATTTAAGCATAAGTGCTGTTCTGTATCAGAAGCAGGACAGTTTAAACAAAGTTATTGCATATGCTAGCAAGACTTTGTCGCCTGTTGAAGTTAAATTCAACACGTGTGAGAAGGCATTATTGTCGACTGTCTGGGCACTACAAAATTTTCGTAGCTATATCCAAGGTGAGAAAATTATTGTAGAAACAGCTCACCAACCTCTACAGTATCTGCAGAGTGAAAGAATTAGAGACGGTAATCTCTCTAACAGTCGGATTACTGCATGGACTCTATCCTTACAGGGATGGCCGTTAGAAGTCCGTTATAAACATAATAAGGGAAGCCCAGTTGCCCAAGGTTTAGCAGAATTACATGACTGTACTGCTCCATCTCTGGATGATAATGACACCGGAGATGACTTCCTAGAAGAGCAATTGCTATCCCCTTATAAAGTTTATGACGAGGAATACTGTCGACCACTACCGTGGGTATACATTGATGGTTGTTCATATCACCACGTCATTAATGCTGAACGGAAGTTAGTTGCAGGTATCGGAATCGCCTGGATAGGTGATTATCCCAATGTATCTATAGGATACAATATTGGTCCCAAAAGCAGTCAGATAGCCGAACTCTGTGCAGTATATAAGACCATTCAAATGGCAATAGAATATGGTATCAAAGAATTTGTTATTATAACTGATTCCAACTATGTTCGCAACAGTTTCGTTGAATATCTGCCTAGCTGGAAACGTAACCAAATGCTGAAAAGCAATAACAAACCTGTTAAACATGGGAAATTGTTTTGTAAAATCGATGAGTTGGTTAAGGAAAACGGTTTAACCATATATTGGAAGAAAACCAAAGGCCATTCTAAAATAGAAGGTATTGACAAGGATGGTAACGACTTAGCCGATTCACTGGCAAAGCAAGCTGCCATCAATGGTGAAACCCTAAATATTGATGATCTTATGGGTTCAATTCACATTGAAGCCATAACTAGACGACAGGCTAGAGATAATGCCGACTTAAATGTCGTGCAATGGAGTCAAGAAGCTCCTAGTGAGGAACAGATTACTAGTCAAAAGAATGATCCCGTTATAGGCATATTCTATAGACATATAGAAGATCCTACTGCCAATCCCATCACAGATGAGGATTGCAAAATTAATGAAGATTTACGAATCTTGATGAGATATAAAGTCCAATTTAGTATCATGGATGGGTTACTGGTCAGAACTTCTAAACATGGTATACAACAATGGGTAGTCCCAACTGTATACAGAGGGTTAATGCTCCAACACGCACATGATGCACCTACATCTGGGCATCGTGGTGATAAGATCACATATGAGATATTGCGTGATTATGCATATTGGCCACACATGTTAAGGGATGTTAAGACATACTGTCAGGGATGCTTGATTTGTCCGCAATATCAACCCCATGGTCCAACCCATCGTGCACCACTTCAGAAGAGGGGGGTGTCATTACCCTGGTCTGATATTCAAATTGACTTTATAGGTCCTGTAACAAGATCTTCAAGAGGTAACAAATACATGTTAACGTTACATGTATGTACACAAAGTGGATAGAATGTTTGCCTTGTAAAGAGAACACGAGTACCGTGTGCGCCACTTTGTTGATTAACCATGTCTTTTCCAGGTTCGGTCTGCCTCAAAGAATTGAGTCAGACAGAGGTAGTCATTTTACCAGCGAAGTAATGGCTAAGATGTGGAACATTCTAGGTGTTAAACGAAAGCTACATATTGCATACCGCGCTGCGTCTAGCGGGGGGGTAGAGCGATATAACCAGTCTATCGTTAATATTCTGAAGAAGTATGTTAAGGAGTCTGGTAAAGACTGGGACATTAAATTGCCCTAGTTTTAATGGCGATTAGAGCTACACCTAGCACTGCTACCAAATTGTCACCTTTTGAATTGATGACAGGAAGAAAGATGGTTTTACCACAGCATTTACTATATCGTACTTCAGATCATAGCTTGATCAGTGCTGCCACTACGCATCAGTATATCGAACATTTGCGCAAGCATTTACAGCATGCGTTTGCTTTTGCCCAAAAGAATCTAGAAAAAGCAGCGACAGGGGTTAAGACCTATTACGATCTAAAAACCACGAAAAAGGAATATGAGATCACAGATCAAGTCTATCTGTATAACTTTGCGCGAAATCAAGTCAAGGAAAATAAATTTTTACCTTCTTGGAAAGGGCCATATGTCATCATTGACAAAATTTCCCCAGTAGCGTACAAGATAAAAATTCCTAAGGATGGTGATTTTATTGAAAAGTGGGTTCACATTAACCAGTTGCGTGCTTGTCATCCTAAATCTCAATTAAGGATTATAGGTGTGGATTCGGATGCAGAAGGGTGAACGACTAACCTGGATGAATGCTTGATTCACGTGGTATCGTATGATGTGAAATGTTGTGATGTGCCATGATCTCATGTACGTTCATGTCATTAACCATTTCCTTGCCATCCAATAACTACATTTTCTAAGCAGGTTACTAGCTTGTTTAACTGCTATAGGCGGAATTACTGAAGAGTCAGTAATAAATGTAGTGAGGGATGAAGTTATAAAAATAGAATTAAAGAGAATACATATGTTATGAATCGTAATAATGTGTTGTCCTAGGCCAAGTGATGTCACACTGTTATAAGTTTGTATGCTTAACAAACCTTGAATCATTAGTAGATAAGTCTGAAACGAGTTCCTGATCCGTGACTGTCGAAAGATGTCCAAGAAGGATGTGGCGTGTTTCTGGATCGTACTGCTCCTGTGCCAAGAGCTACGGACCGACCCGATCGCAGAGATGGGACCATCCTCCAGCATCCTGATTCAAGAGACACCAGGGTTCATCTTGACAGAGAAGAGGATCCTGACCCGACGTGTGTTCGTCAGCTTGGACCCCAAGATTTCCATCGAGAAGGCATACAACATTTCATCGATGCAGCTTCCTGAGTTACAGACTTGGTACCAGATGCACCTCCAAAGAGCACAGGACCGTGTGCGAAACATCTTGGAGCAAGCCCGGAAACCATTTGTATCCAGTTCTATTCCGATGAGCAACCGACCCAAAAGGTTCCTCACCGCTATAATTGTTGCATTAGTTTGTGCCACTGTCGGTGCAGTTGTCGCAACTGGAATGTCTGCAGCCAACTCTATTACTGTCCAAAAGCTGGATATGGAAATCTATGCACTAAAGCAACACATTAACGATATTCATCAGGTGATAAACCAGCAAAGAACACTTCTCCAAGACGTGTTAACTATTGTGGAAGACACAGTTGTTACAACAAATTTGCATTCGGAGTTAATTGCCAAATCCACTGAGTTGCACCAAAGTCATGACTTATTTAAGCGTGAACTTCTATTTCTGCATGACCCAATATTGTTCCACACACTTGCTTTTCTTGACGAAGTGCAAACTGGAATGATCGAATTGGCAGGGGGACGCATACCTCTGTATTTTGTATCCAAGGATATTGTTCATGCGATGCTTGCCAATGTGGATGGAGAAACAGTTGAACCTATGCAATTAAATCTGGCCCTTGAGATGGGGAGCGCTATACCTCTCTTAATTGATCCGGAACGTATGGAGATTTGCTTTTTATTGGCCATACCATATGTAACTCCCAAAGACATTTTTCAAATGAAAACAATGTACCATGTTAATAATGATATTATGGTTGATTGTACTAAGTGTAAAGTTCAAAACTCTTACAGGTATAAATATATACAAAAATGTTCATTCCACGCTCGGGCCTATGTTAGAAATGATGTGATTGCACAATATGTCTGGTAACTTCTATAGTGCTTATTCATAAGCTAAATAAATTTTGGCTACGAAATGCACTAAAGGGGGGTTATGTCAGGGTATTTATATCGACAGACATCTTGTGCTATGATAGAAATTAAAAGTGTATATTCTGAGTCACTTTGAACAGACCAGACTCCATTTTGTTATTTTCAAGTTAACAAAAGACACAAGATTTCTTTCTGTAAAACTAACCACTTTGCCAGAGCTAAAGGAATGCATAGTATAAACAAACCAAGTGATAAGAAGAACGGGGGATGGATAGACTGTCTAAAATGCTAATGGAATATAATCAATTCTAAACCCAGACATTTGTGACAGAGAAGATTAAATAATTTAATTTTACTGTCTATATATGTATAAGGTACCATTGTAAGAAAAGGTTAAACTTAGTTCATGATCTGCCATATCAGAAATTATAGCAGGAATTGCGGACACGAAGTCTGGACAAAACTTAAAGAAACCCTTTGATCTGAAGGGATACGTAAGTTATAGCAAAGATAAAGATAACGCAAAATGACGTCAAAATAGCCACCAGGAAAAGTTAACTCTTTCCTGCATAGGTATGTTTAGTGGGACAAGACTGCCCTCTATAGACCAAATAACTAAATTGCGATCTGGAAGATAACCACACCTCTAGTGCTTCTATTGGGTTATCAACTGATGACGTACAGAGAGTCTGGCCCTTTAAAAGTTAGGACAAAGGGAAGATAGGGGGATGCAAAGGAAGAAAAAGAGGAGAGAGGAATTGGAAGTGTGGGGACTCCAACTCGGACATGCAGAGAAACCCAGGACAACATCTGAGACTAACACTCTACTCTTAAAACTCTAACACTTAGAATTTTACTGACTTTCTAACCAACACCACCTTTCACCATAACTCATGCACCTACAGACATCCAAATAAGTTCCTGAGACTATCTACCAATCGGATGAAATATCTACTCAACTGGTAATTATACTGGTTTCATTTAATTAATTAAATTAATTAAAATGTATTAATAGCATTATATATGACTGGATAAAGCACGGTCAGATTTCCATATTAAGAAATCTTAGTTAACTAAGAATATATAGTTATAAACATTCCATTCTGCAGGTGGAATTAAGAATAATTATATATTAATGTGATATTATCACGTGTTAGCATACCGCTGTTTTTATCCAGGTGTATTGATTTGCTCTAAATTAAGATAAGATATCTTTTAGACAAATTAAAAACAAAGTCTGCTTATATATTCATGGTAGATTCTCTTATTGGATGGTTCCAGGAAATGACTAATGAACTGGTTTAAATGTTATTTTATTTAAAATTACATAAGAATAGATCCTAATTACTTAGGAGATCTAGCCAGCATTGAAAGGGTTATTCTGTTAGCCAGGGTTTTATGGCCCTTCGCTGTGAAAAGTTTTCCTTTCAGTCTGTAAGGATACCTCATAAATCGTGTAAGACTTGACAGAAAATGCTGTTTAGCCATTGAAACGTGTATAGCCATTCCTTTGTATTGCATACCATTTTATACTGGATATTCATTGATTATTGTCACGCATGTTACATATTATTATTAATTAATTTATTATAAAATAAAATCTATTTTTATAACATTGTGATTTATTTATATGAAATACTTCTCACTTACGATAACGATCTTTGGATCTGAGAATTGAATTAGTGGGCAATTCTCACTGTTACTATTATTATCCCATAAATATCCCCACAGTGCAAATAGCTTGCACTGGAGAGACAAATTAAACTGTCTGGTCTTACTACTCGCCAGACTTTTTCAGGGAATACGGTCTGGCTATCCACTGAACCACTTTGGACCATATGCCAGTACCTTTTAACACTGCAATGCATTTAACAACTTGAAAAAAAATAACCTATGACATGACACTGACCTGTTTTATATCCATACATACTTCAAACTAGGACTATGGAACTCCGTTATATAATACAGATTGAATGATTCCCCATAATTTCAGTCACGGGTAGGGGAGACCCCATAATTGGCCCTCAGTGTTAACAATTTGACTGGGGACCCACGGAAGGGTGCTGGCCGATACTCCATTGGGCGATGGGACAGTCCTGAGTGGGACATGTGAAGGGGTGCTGCCCGAAGTAGCTCAACGTAGGTTATATGTCACAGCCCATCCATCCTACAAAAAATCTTTCTTTTCTTTTTTCTCATTATTTTATCTATTTATGTAGGTTTTTACCTTGCTGGGGGGTACTTTAACTCTTAAGGAGAGCAGCGGTACATATGTTTGTTTAATATAAAATCTGCCGTCACCGCGTGACTTGAGGACCCAGAACGTAGTCGATCTATCGGTCCTGTATTTCCATCCCCCTAATTCCACCTAATGTTCACGTTGTCCCGCTCTCCTATTTATCTTCCACTCCACCCATATGAGGTTGGGCATCTCGTATCAACGCATACCGTTTCCACTGTGAACTCCTCATACCTGTACCATGTGTGAGTTAGCAGAACATATAAATTGTGATATCATTCAAAAAAAACCTCCCTGGGGTAAGGAAATGAAGCACCGCCTGCGCATATATAGCAGGCCCTGAGGCTTCAACCGATGGATCCATGCCGGGCAGCACTCCATGTCCCCACCCCCCCGCCCCACCACCACTGGGATGCACATGCGACGCCCCTGCCTTCTCCGGCGGGCGTCGCCGGTACCATGTAGGCTAGTCGCCTATGCCACAAAGAACCACTCGAAAGGGAAAATACAATATTCCAAAAGTAGCATCAGTAGCCTATGGTCCATAGTCCAGCCATCCGAATGGGCCGTTTCAAAGTCCCATGCGTTTTCTTTTTTTTTTTTCTTTCTTTTTTTTTTTCTTTAAATTAAGCCGAACTCCCGGTTATGAGTATGTGTTCCGGGATATCCCATAACCAAAGCGACCGCCCAACCTAACTATCATCCCGTCCCCTTCGGAGCAACTCTTCCCTTTATCTATGTGCCCACCAACCAGGGTCCCCCATCCCAACAGCCCGCTATAAACCCCGTACATCTCCCCCCCGCTATATACACACTGTCAATATACATATACGATACCCTCCTCCAGCCTCAATGGTCTACGGCTCAGGTATGCTGCCACTCTGTTGGAAGCAGTTGCAATTCTTCCACGGGGACCAAGGTTATAGGCAGGTCTCGTGGAGGTTCCAGGCCCAGATCCCTCAAGACGCTGCGGGTCGCCTCCAACTGTTAGTGCATGGGTCCTGCTATCTCGAAACGCCATCAATCTGAAGGGAAAACCCCTTGCATATCAGATCTCTTCCCTGCGTAAGGCCTCGGTGATCGGTTTCCAGACTCTCCAGCGTTGAAGTGTGCTGGGGGCCTGGTACAGCGTGACGTCCGCTCCCCCATATGCAATGGGACCTTCTCTGCCTTTCCGGAGGACTGCTTCTTTTGTTGGATAGTGAAGAAATTTTACAATGATGTCTCTCGGTGAATTAACCTCAAGACGGCGTGTCCGGAGTGCTCTGTGTGCCCTCTCGATCTGCCATAGGTTATCCAAAATATCAGACAACAAGGGCTTAAATATGGTGAGTATGAGGTCTGTGAGGGGCACTTCACTCTCCCGTTCTGGCAGGCCCCGGATATGTAAATTATTACGGCGAGACCTGTTTGCGATGTCCTCCAGGGCCAGGTCTGCCTCCACCAGACGCGTCGTGAGCGTATTAACTTGAGCCACCATCTCGTTATGCGCCCTCGTGGTCACCTCCATGCGTTCCTTGAGATGCCCGGTTCTCGTTCCCAAGGCCTGGATCTCACTTTGCAGGACAGACGTGGATTTCACGATCTCTCCCGCTAAGAAGGTTTTCACTTCAGCGAGCTTCCCCAATATCTGTGCGGTGTCACACTTGGGTGATCCTGGACCCGTAGGGCCAACCCTGCCGCCATCTTGGTCCGTCGTCGCACCCAACTTGGATGCAGTCAGCAAGTCCATAACAGTGGCCTTGGTCTCCGCACCCTTCTTAGGCACTTCCTGGGAGTTCCGTTTGTCCATTTTCAGGTGGGTGTCTAGTTTATTTTCGCTTATGTAGGCTTAATGCAGTGTTAGTGGAGCGGAGCTTCACGCACCCACGTCCAGCTCGCTCCGAGGTTAGGTCACGCCCCCTAAACCAAACCCTTTTATATAGGGATTGGGAATGGGGTTTACAATATTTCAACAATATTTTTTTTAGTGCCCATATACCTGTTTCAGATGAGCAGCTTGATTTTCAGAGCATAAAATTGTGCTATTTCTTTAAAAAGAATTTTTTTAAAAAAGGCACAGTTATATAAGATATAACTTACTGAATAGCAATTTGATATGGGGAACAATAAATAAAAAAGTGTGACTTATTTTAAAATGGTCAAAATGAACACTTGTTCCCTACATTTGTCATTTATCAAATGCTTTCATGTTACTTCCCATATTTTTTAAGGACCTAGAGTACAATATGCATAAAAAGATATCTGTGCCATTCTCACAGTCCCCAAAGATATTTCATATCTCCTGCAAACAGATCTTGTATCTTTGCTTTCATTCCTTACGTCCCATCTGGGAAATCAAAGGCAGCAGTTCAAGAAAACTCCTGAAGTCTGAATTTCAACTGTTTCCTTCACTTCAATCTTTTCCTAAAAAGAACATCCACAAGAAAATATTTTGTTAATGTCAACAAAAGCATTTCATCCATGATTAATATTCAAATTCAAACCCTCCTTGTTAATGATGAATCTGTGCTGAATTTGTTTCCAAAACATACAGTATTGGTATCAGTCTAAAATTCCACAGGCTACAGAAAGATGATAATCTGCAGGTTACACTTCAGATGTATATTTAAGCTCCTTCACTACCAGGAGCTTATATATTTAAGTAGAAAAATTGAATGACGAACAAGCATATAGATTAGAGAAACAAAATCAAAAAGTTTGGGGGGCGATGGGTCTGACCGCCATGCTTGATTTCAATATAGCTAGACACATTTTGA